GGCTTGGTGGTCTGAGAAGTGGCTTGTGAGGCTTTCTTCATCAATAGGGACTGGACGAAGCTCTGCAAAATCGCAATTCAACCGTAGTTGAAACCGAGTTGCAAACAGTTAAGCCACTGTTCAATCAATATAAAATTTCTCTATTTTTTTAGTAAGCTTTATGGCACTAAAAAAATAGGGTGGCGCACAGCCATGACCCTCCCTAAGACAAGCTGTCTATTCAAATTTGCCCCTCCCACCTCAGCCAAAAGCCTATGGCAGAACGCTTCTGGACAGCCCGATATACCTTTCACAAGTTGCTCTGGCTTTGGTTTTGGTGAAATCATCTTGTAGTCGGGGCTCTTGGGCTTGCAGGAGAAATCGTGACACCTCCTGTTTGTATAAATAACTTCGGTCGGCTTCCAGGGGATTCATGCGCTTATTGAGGTGGCTAAATCCTCTGTCGGTTGAAACCTTGCCCAGTCCCTAATGACGCATTGTTGAATGATGTCGTCCAGTTGATCATTGACCCATACTTGGTCGATGTCAAGCATGGTACGTGGCTTATTCTCTTCTGTACTAATCTAATCATTTCCCACTAACATCTTGAGTGGTTGCTTTGTTATCAGCACCTTAGCAACTACGATACTTTCCAATTTGAGGGAATTCAATAAACCAAGTCTCTCAGTTGCCCACTCCCCAGTTGCAAAAATCCAAGCTTGACCCAGCCGAAGTGCTGGCCCATCGACATCGACATTGCAATCTTCGCGTATGCTCTTAAACCCCCTCAAGCAATAGACATCCGACAAGCTCAACATGGGATACAGCACAGTATGCTCTTGTTTTTGGATTTGCACATGATTTGCCTCATATGTCTCGTAATGAATTACCCTTCTACGTCAAAATTCAGCACAGCCGCAATTCTACATTGTACCCCCAACCGAAGTAAGCGTATATCACTTTGATACTCCATACGTCACACCACATCAACCGGTATGCTTTGAGTCTTCAGATTGTTATCTTTGAGCCAAATTTTATTTATTTTTTGATTGAGTTTCCGAGGAGTTATCACCTGCCCTAATCTGCCTGTCTGTTTGAATTGGTCATCATCATCCAACAATCTAACTCAAGAAGAAAACATTTCACCTGTATCCACTTATAAATTACCCAGCCCATAACTTCTCCCAACTGATTCGCGTTCAAGACCAAATCTCAATCACACCCTTCCTCTCAAGAATATTGGTTTGATACTTATTGTAAAGAAGGAGGACCTGTTTTCTTATCAGATGATACGTCGGGGGACAAATCGTTTGCCCTTTTTTGTCATTGTTTCATATGTATCAAATCAAATTTGAATCTGACTACATTCTGATATTTTAATTCAGTGTGGCGGTACAATAGAACTGCATTATCAATCAGCACTCTTAGCCGTAAATATCGCATTCCAAGGACTATCTGATGCATCAAACCGAATCCTTTCAACTTATCAGACCCGACTTCATACCATTTGATCCAAAAATTGTATTCCTAAATCCATTGATCTCTCTTACTACAATCATAAGTCATATGAATAATCAAAAGAAACTGATGATATTTGTTTTGTTGGGCTTTGGATTTTGATTTGGTCAATTATAAGAGAATTATCGATTCGATTTTGGAAATCGATTGGAAGGAGAATCATCGGAATCAATCATTGTCATAGAGTACAAAGATTTGAATCACTGTACTTTCTTTTGATGTATAGGAGTGGTATGCAGTTTTCTTTCTTCATTCAATCATTTTTTGGAGCTCAAAAGCCGGCAATCTTTGATTGATTTTGTCGTTTTTTATTTTGGAAGAAAATTCTTTCCAGATTTCCTCATCCAATCCTTTGTTGAACATTTAACAATGTTTGCATGATAATTCAAATGATCCACTTCCATCTCTTACAAAGATCTTTTAAGTAGCTCAAGCTGCTTTTTGGATTCAACGATCGATTGGTTTGACTATGAAGAAACATAGAAAAGGTTGTCATCAAATTCTTGCTGGTAAGTTCTTTCATACGTCTCGGGTCCAATTTTGAGTTACTCATTTGAACAAATTGTGTTTGAGATTGTATTGTCACTATTCTCTTAGTCTGTGGTTGTTATGCTGTCAACGTTCCTGGGATCAGTACAGCCATCATGTCAAAATGGATGTATCAGATATCATCCTTTTTGTAAGTCTATAGAATTTTTCAAGAAATTAGATCCTTAGTTGTCCATTGAATACTGACACTCTTGCACAATCTAGGTTGCCAAAATATTGAACAAAATGGTACAGTGCTCTAAAATTAACAAACGAAGTGGATTTTGGATGCTATGATGATTGGGTGAACTGATGAGGGGACTTTATTAAGTTTATCAACTCTTTGATTCTTGAAATCATTAAGCTGATTAAACTGATCAATTCCATTCAATCAGGAACAAAACCTCAATCGATTTCAAATCCCACCACAGTGATTGATCAAACAAACAAACAAACAAACAAATAAGAAATATTTCATACATAGAGAGAAATCAAGTTATAAATCAAAGAAGCATAAATTCATTCATCAAGCAAGTCCCAAAAGTTAAAATCAAATTTGAAGCCTTACATCAATTGAGGACATATGAACTAGAGAAAAATACTTGAAAGAATTCAGTTTTACAGAAAAGAACTTGCTCGAGAGTTGGAATGTGTTGGTCTTTTCATTCTTTAATAAAACACACAAATGATAAAAACTTTTTACATTTTCTACTAACACTTTAGAAACTGACAATCTCGAACCTCCTGTCACTTCACATAATTTGGATGATGATCAAATGAGGCCCATTTAACATTAACCTACAAGGTACTTCCGGAACAAGAAGAACTTATGAATTGGTAAATTGAAAACATTTGTCCAAGTAGTTCATAATTTCTTAGTTTGATTAAATCTTCAATTCATTTTTTGCATTTCTGACTTTTTTTAGTCAAGGTAGGGAAACTCATGAGATTGTTGAAGATCAACAAATGACTTGGTTAGAAGCAAAATTCAGATGACAACCGCACTTCTTTTCAAATTTGTCAACCAAACAAAAACACTACTGTGACCTTCAAAATATCATTCACATTTCTTTTTGAAGATTCTGATCATAGGTTTTTTCTGTGGTCCATCAATTTGATTGACATTTTTTGACTTTGATTGTAAGTTTTTTTTAATAGTATGTAGGGGAGTAACTTTCAACAATAAGTGTTGAGTTTTATTGTGAAATCAAATGATGCTCATGAGCTCTGATGAATTTTATTGGATCAGAATTGCCAAAAAGAGCTCAGATTAATTAAAAGTGTTGTTGGAGGACCAAAAACCAAGCAAATCTATTAACAAACTTACCCTTGTGACGCTGGATCGCTGTTTTGAATAAAATTTGATTGTGAAAACAAACAATTGAATGATTGGTTTGGAATGAAAATGATGGTATTACAGATAATTTCAAGAAATGACTTTCTTCAACATATTAATCAAACAAGCTGTTGGATTATAATCCATAATTGAGTTTATGATTTTACCACTTTTCTTGATCAGGTCAATTGATTTTGTTTTTTCATTTGTATTCATGTCCATGTCCATTTTTTGAGGTTCTAAAAACCGATTTTTTTAATTCTTTGTGTACAGCATCCTGGTGGATTGATCTGCAGATTGCTAATCTTAACCAAGGGACGACTTAAGGTATAGTTCCATGATAGAGTTTCGGTGTATGAGGTATAAACCCATAACCCAAAATCAGAGTTTTTACACCGTGAGAGACAGAGAATTTACACAACCAAAATTCTCACCTCACACGTCTCATAACGCAATCGAAACGATCATTCAATTCATTCTCAAGGTTGGAAATAAAATTTCAAAATCTTGTGTTTTATACACTACACAAAATATAATATTTTCCGGGCGGAAAATTTGAATACTGACACGCAAAAATATTGAGAAGTCAGGAAGAGAGAGAAAAATACAAAAAAATATGCATATTTACGGTACTCAAAGCAAGTATGTACGCGTACATACTTTTTGCTACATAGTTTTTTTTGGCGGGGAAAACGAGTCCAAAAGTATATTTGTTTTATTTTCCCCGCCAAAAAAAAGTATATACGACAACTATATACGTGTAACTATGTAGCTTTGAGTACCGTAATTGTTCCTAAGGGTGAGACCTTTGATTTAAGTATTTTTTTGTAATTTTAGCGTGAAAATTGTTGATTGTACTAACAAAAAACCTCAAGGATCATCAGATTACAAGCTGTAACAGATATTGGAATTTGGCTCATGAATGACAAGGGAATAATTTCAATCCTAAAATCCTTCATATCTTTTGCAATTCTTGGTCAAAACACTCGATAATTGGCTCATTGGAAAACCATGGCCTTCATTCAAATGTTACGTTAATGCATCAAATCTGTAGCTCCGCTCCAAAAAACATTATTTGTCCTTGAAGCTATTTCATATATAGCCAAATAGATTTTTTCTGGAATCAGAGGCAGCTTTCCCGTCACAATGAAAGATATATATGTCACAGAGGTTAGCTTTCCAATGAACCAAAAATTGAGTGGTTTGGCCAAGAATTGAAAAAGATATAAGGGATAGTAGAATTCAAATTATCCCCTTGTCACCCATTAGCCAAATTCCGATATCTGTTACAGGTTGTAATCTAATGATCCTGGAGGTTTTATGTTAGTACAATCAACAATTTTCAGACTAAAAATCCAAAAATTACTCAAATTAATGATCTCAACCATAGCAACAATATGCATATCTTTTTTGTATTTTTCTCTCTCTTCCTGACTGCTCAATATTTTTGTGTGTCAGTATTTATGTTTTCCGCCGGGAAAATATTATATTTTGTGTAGTGATAGCAGAAATGACTTCGATTACAGACGAGATTCAAGCAACACAAGACAGAATCAAAGGGGCGGGACTGAGGCTGAAAAAGAAAAATGTGGGTGAAGGTACAAGTGCAACGACACACAGCCAGTCAAGAGGAAGAGAGATGAATGGTCAAGGCAGCAGTGGAGGAGGTCAGCAACAAGAGGAAGAAGTCGAACCGGAAAAAGAAGGAGGAGGTAATGGTACAGGAGCAGGAGAAGGAGCAGGAGGGAGACCAGGTCCGAGTGGAGAGACAGGAGAACAGGCAATAGAGGGTGAGTACACGGAGTCGACTTCCTTTCTACTAAATTTCGCTGAGGGGACGTAGAGTGGTTCAATTCCCATATCACACTTCATATCAAACTTCCGAACTCCTGTCACAATCTACTTCCAAAATTCCTATCACAATCTATCACCTTTTGCATAATCCTTCATATCACAACCATCCACAAAAAGACTACTAGTCTGTGAAGATTTATATCAAAGAGACATGACCAAATGTTTATTAGGCATGGGTGAAATCTTTAGAGAGAAAGATGACGTGTTAGGAGCCATATCTCCAGGAAGAGAAGCGGGAAAAACCAAGAGGAGGATGGATTAGGGCTTACGGAAGTTCCATAGTTCCACAGAGGAGGTGAAGCACACGGGAGGAGTACGCAGAGTGTTGCGGATATCACAGGAGGGTGAAGAGAAGAGAAGAGAGATGCTAGAGAGGGCAGAAAGAGAAGCGCTTCAGAGAGGAGAAGTAAGAGACGAGAGGTCTAGAAGAGAGGAAGAAAGAGACAGAACAAATGACTGACAAGAATAAAACGTGTTTTCGATAAGTAGGGCAGGTACAAAACCAAACGCCACGAGACAGATGGTGGTCACAGATAGAGACAGCGCTAAGCGAAGAGAATAATGAACTGGCGAAAGAGATGTTGCAAGGGTTCGTGTTTATGTACGGTAAAGACTCGACGTTGATGAGATCGCTAGAAGGATTCGACCAACCAGGAGAGCAACCGAGCGGTAACGAGAAAAGAGGTAGATCACCGGAGAGAGAACGGAGAGAAAGGCCACGGACAGAATCGCTGATCGTAGGAGACGATGAAGAAGATGAAATAGATGAACTTCAGGACCTAGAAGAAGGAATTGTGGAAGTGAACAGAGAGGAGGTGAGAGAGAGAGGAAGACCAGCTGCGAAGAAGATGACGGGAAAGAAAAGGAAGGTAACGCTGGAAAGAGAGGAGACGTTAGAAGAGATAGAAGAGGGAGATGAAGAGGAAGGTGAGTGACCGTCCTAAATAGGGTAATAGAGAAGGAAGTGACTGATAAAACGAATGTGACAGAGGAAGGAGGCATTACGTACAGAATCGGACAGCCAATAAGTGGGTCGTCGAGAATGCCTCTCACCCCATATTGGGAAAACAGGATGAAGACCTTGAAAGCATACGTGCCGTTGACAATATTTGACCCGGTATGGATTGAGAGAGATCATCGGGCGGTAGGGAAGAAGAAGGTAAAAACAATCAAAGAATTGCAGGAGGACGATTCGTCAGCCACGATTTCAGGACTGCAACCACCAGAAGAACTGTTGATGACTTACGGTGTTTGGGTAGATGCAGTAGACTTGTTCATTCGTTATCTAGAGGAAGAATATAAGAGGCCAAAAGCGGCAAAAATGTTCAGGAGACATGCAGATAATGTAGTCAAAGTGAAACGACTTACTAAGTGCTGGATGGTGGCGCTTAGATACGATATGAAAGTTCGATTGATCGTGATGAAGGTGATGAAGGATGAAGAGGGAAAGAGGGTGATGGATGACGCGGGATTTTGGCACGAAGATTTGTTGCGAGAGGCTAAAGAAGAAGCGGACGCAAAAGGAGAGAGAAGTTTTGCGGATAACCCGTACATAGCCGGAGGCGGGAAGGAGAACGTAGATCCAACGACGGGCATAGCGACCTATACGGCGTGGTCAGGATATGCGAGTTCTAGTCAGACGAACATGAGAGGTAAGTGAGGAAAGAGACGAACAAAGTAAGACGGAAGAGAGACTGATAAGGAATGCCGGTACTGTCCACAGGAGCCCAGACAGGAAGAGGCCGCGGTGGAACCATGAACGTGAACAGAGGCCAACCAACACGAGGAGGTACAGGTAGAGGGGTGGCGCAACGTGGTTGGTCCCAAGGAAGGGGACCCGGATGGTGGGCAAAGCATAGGGGAGGAGGTTTAAGCGGAGCTGGAAATGGCACAGAGACTAGCAAGGAGTGAGTAAGGAGTCAGAGTAGAGAAGTGTTGTTCTATGTAGATAAATAGAAGTAAGATGAAATACATACTTATATGAAATGAACACTTGTTTGAACGCCCAACAACCTTAACCAGAGCCCGTGAGATGAGAGTGAGCAGACCCAAATCAACAGTGGAAGATGTTGAAGTGGTGGAGGTGAGAGCAAACGGAGAAATCAACGGACACCACGAGCAGGTAATGGTCGACAACACTGAGGTCGAAGAGAACGCTGAAAGATCAAACGCGAAGGGTGGCGGAGAAGAAGAAACAGCGAGGAGAGAGCAGAGACCAACATGGAGGACTGTCCCTGATGAGTTAAGACCCAAAGAGAACGAGTTGGAGGAATCGGAAGACGAGCAACAGACAGAGACGTTCGAACTAGAATACATCGAAGGCACTGACACTGTGCAGATGTAGTATTTTTCCACCATGCAAAATGATTAAAATTAATGTCAAAATGATTAAAAATGCTGTGTTAATGCATAAAAATGCACTATTAATGCACCATTCATGTGGAAAAATGCAGCATCAATGCAGTAAAATGCAGTGTTAATGCACACACAAAATGAATTCAGAATTCTACCTTTTTCAATTTTGTTTGTCCTTCAGGTCAATCATTTTTCACTTGGGAAAAATACTACATCTGCCCAGTGTGAAGGAGAGAAGGAGACGTCAGGAGAAAGAGAAAGAGAACCAAAACATTCTTACCCGGATAGAAGGCAATGGCCAGAGAAGGTGGAATGCGAGATGAACATAAGGGAATGGGAAAAGGAATTGATGAGATGGAACCTGATGAAAGAACATGGCTACGTCTTGAAAGGCTTTAAGGAGGGATTCACGCAGGGGATCCCAGAGCATCGTTTAGAAGGGAGAAGGTTCTACTCACCGGACAACCATAAAACATCGAAAGAAGCTGAAGAAGAGATAAAAGAGAAGCTGAGAAAGGAACTATTGGCAGGGAGGATGAAAGGACCGTTTACAGAAGAAGAGGTAGCGGAGAAAATAGGATTTTTCAGAACGAGCCCGATGGGAATGGTAACGAACGGAGACGGAACGACGAGGATTATAAATGACCTTTCGTACCCGAAGAGGAGAGAAGATATTGTGTCAGTAAATTCATTGGTAGATAAAGAGGAATTCAAAACAAGCTGGGATGATTTTAAGAAAGTGGCGGAGTTCTTCAGCAAACTTACAAGGGAAGTCGAGCTGGGAATTTTTGACTGGGAGAAAGCCTATAGGCAAATCCCAACCAGACCAGACCAATGGAGATATTTGATGGTAAGGACACCGGAAGGATGGATCCTGATAGATTTGAGGGTAACATTCGGAGGAGTAGGTGGATGCGGCAGCTTTGGTGGTCCGGCGGATGTGTGGAGAGCGATTATGAAGGCGAAATTTAACTTCCTGGAGGTATTTCGATGGGTCGACGATAATTTATTTGTACGATTGAAGGATGGCGAAAACGAGGTGGCAATGACAGAAGTAGTAGCAGCAAGTGCGCGGTTAGGTGTAAAAACAAATGAGGGAAAGTACTCAGAATTTGGAGAAGAACAAAAGTACATCGGATTTATCTGGAATGGAAGAGAGAAGTCAGTAAGGTTACCAGAGTCAAAGAGGAGAGAGAGGATGAATCAGATAGAAGAGGCATTGATGAAAAACGGACCGCATACCTTTAAAGAGATGGAGAAACTAACAGGTAGACTGGTACACGTGACATACATGCTACCTCAGATGAAGTGTTTTTGCGCAAACTTCCACCACTTACTAGCCTCTTGGAAGAACAAACTGGCAATTAGGAGATTACCAAAAGAAGTGAGAGTAGACTTAGAAGAATGGAAAGAGGTTTTAGGGAAGTTCGAGAACCATCGGTTGATCCCAAAGAAAGGCGTTGAGAATTTGGGATGGGTAGGTGACGCGTCGACCGGATACGGAATAGGGGTGATAGTAGGCAAATATTGGACGCAGTTGAGATTCAAGAGAGGCTGGAACAAGAAAGATAGCGAAGGCATAAAAAGAGGGATAGCTTGGGCCGAAACGGTGGCAGTAAGGATCGGTTTAGAAATGGTGAAGTTGTTGTTCAAAACCAAAGGACGGAGATTCCTAGCTATAACCGATAATACTGGAACTGAAGCGGTGATACGAAATCAAAAATCAAGGGATAGGTCAGTAAACGAGGAATGGAAAAAGTTACAGAAGAGACTTACTTACTTGGGGTGTGAACTAGAAGAGAGACGAGTCGCGTCGGGAGATAATAATGCAGATGCGTTATCAAGAGGAGAAAGAGGAAGTAAGGGGATATGCTTCTACCTAAAACCAGAATTACCAAGAGACTTATTGAAATTCTTAACATACGAAAAGAAGAACGATTTAGAGTATAACGATGAAGAAGAAAGCAACCAATTTTGAGACGATAGTGAAGCAGGAAGGTGATGAGGAACAACGGGAGTCAGTGACAGGACACCTAGTAGGAGGAGCGTGGACGAAGAAGAAACTGAAATGCTACAGCAGCGCGGTGAAAAAATTTATAAGCTATATCGAAAGTACAGGGAGGGAGTTCAATAGCGAAGAACGGATGAGAGAAGAAGACGTTTATGGTTTCATTGTATGGGCGGGACCGTCGGAAGTAGAAAAGAAATCAGGTCCGAAAAGAGAGTTGAAGTCGAAGACAATAGAGAAGTATCTGGCAGGATTAAGAGCGTGGCATATGACAAAACATCACGTAGAACTGAAATTAGATAAACAGATGGTGGATTGGTTAATAAAGTCCACAGAAAGAACAGAGGAGAAGAAGACACTCACAAAAGACGTAGTAAAGACGGAGAAGAAAGCGATAACCGTACAGCAACTTTTTGAAATGGTAGTAGAGCTCAATGAGAAGTCCTCACATCACGACTTGGCGATAGTGATAGCATTGGTCGCGTTTTGGGGGATGGCGAGGTTAGGAGAGGTGTTGAGAGAAAGGGTAGAAGACGGAGCAATGAAAGTAGAAGACCTGTCGTTTGAAGAAGGCAAGAAAGGAAAGATCACAATACTGAAGTTGTGGAAAGCGAAGACGGCGAAGCCGGGGGAAGTACAAACAATTAGGTGAGTATAGTGTAAGAGAATAGAAGGAAGGAAAGGAGCTAACGGAGAAAACGAGAGACGCAGGTTGTTCGAACAGAGATCAGTACTTGACCCGGTAGGCGCTTTAGAAAGACTGCTGAAGACGGAACACAAACAGAAGAAAGGAAGTGATATTCTGTTTTTGATAGCGGGAGAAGGTGAAAGACAGGTACTGTCGAAGTTAAGATTCCTCAAGATGATGGGAAATGTTTGGGGAGAGAGCGGAGTAAGAGAAGGGGAGTGGTCAGGACACTCATTTAGAGTTGGAGGAGCATCTTTAAGGTTCAACATGGGATGGAGGAAAGAGAGGATAATGGAAGAAGGGAGATGGAAATCATGTGCAGTAGATGTATACCTGAAGAAGTACACGGAAGAGGAGAAAGAAGAAACGAAACAATTTTTATGGGTGATAGACAGGAGGAATAGAGGAAGCGGAAATTGAACTTTACATGTAATAGAGATGGAATAACAGGCTTAAGAGAAAGATATGTTTAGATGCCGTGAGAATAAACAGATACTTACGTAAGAGAGATTAAGAGACGGAGGAGAGAACGAGAGAGACAAGAGCCCGTGCGAGTTGTGGGATACTCAACAAGTTGAGACTCTCACGAGCCTCGCCTAGATAGGAGGTATGAGTAACCCCCAAGGATCA